GTTGCCCCGAACAGTCGCCCTACACGTGATCCCGAGTACCGTATATAGATTCCTTCCCATAGGAGATTTAACCTCCCAAGTTGTTTGAAAGAATCAACGTGATCTTTATAGTACAGAGCAAACATACATTAGGAGCTTACTGGACTTTGTATATAGAATCTTTAAAGTTTTACAGCAATTATTTATAAGAAAAGTTATAATTTTCTCTATAATCTTATTTAAATAACTTTAAAGATTAGTTAGTTAATTAGTTAATCAAATTTGACAAATGTAATTCGTCTCTGAAAAGCAGATACCACTCAGCAGTGAATTCTCTCTGAAAATCATTAAATATTCAATGTATTCAACAATCAACACACTTAATATTGACAATATTAATAAATTAAGATTATCTAATAGTTGAATATATAGTTATTCATAAGAGCAACTGTGAAGTTATAGCATGTTCAATAGTCTCATAGTCACTGCAGTATGAAGTTTACTGATGAGGAATAGCTTCAATCTGAGCTTCAATCTGCATATCAAGCTGCTGAACATCCTCATGATCTTTCTGTATAAATTGAACAATATTCTGATCTAGATTAACATGTCTTCATGTCTTTTTCTATGTTTTCTGCTCATTCTCTACCTGTAAATCTTGATATTTTGATGAAGAAAAAAATTTATATTCATAGTTATCCGAATGTGACGGGCTAGTCACTGAAAACAGCTGATAACTAGCGCGTATAAGAACAAAAAGGAATCGCTAAGGAAAGAAAAAGGAGAGATAGATCATGGAGGAATCAGGCTGCTTTTATATAGGGAAGGCTTCAGTATTAAGGGACTTTTACACGAGGATGACTGAGGCGTTGCCTCGGTAGTATAGAGTGGAGGCGTTTGTACGAAGGCCTCGGTGGTGGAGGCGCTGCTTGATAGGGCTGCTCTGATAGCGCCGAAGGCCTCGGTCGTATGTACGAAGGCTGAGTCTGAGTATCATGAGGGTTAGGGCATAGCCCTTTATACAGTACAACCTTCTCAAGATGTTGAAGATAAGATATTGAAATACTATATAGCTGTTTCTTCTTATTAAAACCTCTTTACAAGTTATAATTTTATAATCAAGCTGATAAGTAATTTAAAATATTTAAAATACTAAAATCTTGAATTCTTTATATTAAATAAAAATAATAATAATAATATTGATATACAATTAAAAAATAATTTTTAATAGAACTCTTCTTATATTTGATAATTTAAGCTTTGCTATAGTAAAATTATTGTATATATTTTATTTAATAAAAACTTTTTTTTATATGTAGATAAATAAAAAGATAAAAAATATTTTTATTAATATAATTATTTTTTGTAATTATTATTTCTTAAATTAACTTTATATATATATATAAATACTAATATCTAGTAATTAAAAATGTAAAATGTATAAATAAAAGTATAAAGATAGATAATTATATTATTATTATAAAAATTATTAAATTTTATAATTAAATTATTACTATAATTATTAAAAATAAGTTACTAATTTATATTTGTCACAGCTTCAATCTATGTTTGATTGCCAACTAGGTAAGCTAATTCGACGAAACACTAAGATGGTTCCGAAAGACGGGCCCGGGAAGAGTCTGTTTATACCCCTTTCCTTAGCATGGTTGCTAGGCGGTTCCCGTGTTTACGGGGTATTTGTTTACGGGGTAATAATTGCGGGGTAGTTGCAATGCCGTTGCTAGGCAGTTGCAATTACCCTTTTCGGTCCAACGCCGTCATGAAGTCCGGGAGCCCGTTCTACGCCATCACAATATTTATTAAATAATATTTAAAATATGATTTAAATACTTTTTAAATTAATATAAATCTATTATATTATAAAATTCAATTATTAATACTTATAATTATTTTTTTAAATCTGAAAATTGCTAATTTATGATATTAAAAATACTTTTTAATTTTACATATTTAATAATTATAACTTATTTATTTTTTGAATAATTAAATATAATAATAACTTTCTATATTTAGTTATAATAATAATTTTAAAAATTATATAAAATCTTTTATTATTAAATATTTTTTAATATCTTTAATTATTATTTTTTATTTTTTATTTATAAATAATAATAATCAACTATATATAAGTTTTTAAAATAGAAAATATTTTAAAGATAAAAAATAAAAAATTAATATAGTTAAGTTGACTATTTAATAATTTTCAAAAAGAATTTACTGCTTGATGATATTTATCACTAAATGCATCAACATCATTGAATGCACCACTTTTCATTCTAACTATTTTCACTTGTTAAATTATTCAATATGCTCATAAAAACGAAAGGTCAAGCTTCTAGTCAGAAAGAAAAGCTTCTCTTAGATGTTACTGACAAAGCCAAAGGCCTCTTCATAACAATCCCTCCGGATTAGTCGCCAAGAGCATAACGTTATGTTCGGCGATGGTTGGGTAAATAAGCCCTCGTATTCCTATATAGTTACCTTGTGTCAACGCCAAACTTGAAATGTAAAAGTTCTTTCTACGGATTAATTGAAATCAAATAGTAATATCAAAATTTGAACATTTCATACAACTCACTTTGTTTTTCCTCAACAATTCGACGGGAGTGGAGAGGAAGCAATACAATGCCTTCCAAAAGGCAACGCCACATGGTCCATGATCCAACAGTCCCTGATATTTCAGATGATGCTGCAGAGCGAAAACGCGTTTTGAATGTTCTTGCCCAGCGACGTTACAGTGAGGAAAATTTTGGTTTACGAACTTCAATGGTACTAAAGTCATGGTCTAATCCAGTGCCTAGGAAAACGAAGAAGGGAGCATCTCGCTTCTTTGGAGGCTCATATACAAATGAGCCATCAAAAAACTCGTGAATCGGGTGTTGTTGTTGTTGTAGATCCTTCTCCAACTGACAGCGCTGCCGAAAATCAGTCAGGTCTCGATATCCTGCTGCCACTAGGAGCTACAGAGTGTGAGACAGGGAACATCTCCCCCGCGTCTTCGGGCACAGTACAACGAATTCAAGAAGCACTCTTAGAGACATCAAACGATGGATCTCCGGGTGCTTTGACAGACGTTTTCACCCAATCCAATATTCTAGATGTTATACTTGAATCCATGACGCAGAACTCACCATCCTCATCCTCATCCTCTTCTATAATGCCTTTATCACCACCGTCATCATTCGATTCTCTCTTCTCTTCAGGGCTAGCCTTCCCCGAACTATCAGCTCTCTCCTATCAATTGCTCCAGAATCCTATCAACGAGCAAGATTTCACCCCAAACGACCTCTCAGCAACACTCCAATCCTACCAGGCCACGACATTCACCTTCCCGGATGACCACATCATCGAAATCCCACCCCTATCCCTGCTCCGCGCTGTCCTCACTATTGCCGATCGATTGCAACTCAAAGAGCTTATCTGGACCATGAATAGCATCAGCCCATTCTACACAGGCCCTGCAGGTTTTAGGTGCACAAATTCCGCCCCTCCGCAGTCCTCTTCTACAACCTCCTCCCTTTCTTCCTCACGGATGCCGATCTGTATAGAAAGTTTACCAGCCCATCTCCAACCAACCCCAACGCAGCGCTTAATTCCCCATCATCCAATTCTGGATCTCTTCCCCTGGCCCACCACACGCAACAAGCTCATCCAGGTCTTCAGTATGCCGGAGGATCTTCGGCCAGCTTCCGCTTCTCACCCCATGGCACTTATGAATCTGGTATATGATATCGAGGACCCCACTGAGGGGATGCGGGTGAGTGGTACGGATCCGTTTCAGATCGACATGTGGGAGATAGGACAGAGAGTGTTTGAGAGGTGGTGGTGGGCGTTTGAGACGAAAGTGATTGACATAAGTAACAATTTGAGGCAGAATAGAGGCCAACAGGGATTGGCGATTTTATTGAGTTGATCTGTGCTGAAGATCGTGCATTTGGCCATTTACTGTATACTACACATGCATATGTAGTCCGGTTGTCAGCCAAAGTGTCAAGTATACATGCTGGCAACGATACATCCCCCTGAAATATTGTATTGTTTCATTTATCGAGTTTAACCAGGGCACGGCGCGAATATGGCCCTGCGCAACTTTCACAATACTTTCTCGCTAGGCACTCTCTTCGTTCATTGTTCCAATAGATTGACAAAATATTGAGCATAAATGTTGAAATGCGAATATCCCCGCTCTTCCATCTAGAGTTGGAAATCTATATATTGAAGTTTATGTATCCATGTCTTAAGGAACTTCTTATATGTCCGTAAGCTGCTTCAGAAGATAGATCCAAGTAGACTTTTTGTTAAGGATTTTAGATTCAAACATGACAATATCCTGCATGTTGAAGGCGGTTCGAATGAATTAATCGATAACCACCGAAATATGGACTGCAACCCAAAATATAAAATTCTACACAACTGAAAGAGCAGATTTTTTATACTTTTAACAATTAAAGAGGCTCCAGTGGTCCAATGGTTAGGATTCTTGCCTTCCAAGCAAGAGGTCCGTGTTCGATTCACGGCTGGTGCAAAGATTGATTATTATTTCTGGCTTGCCATTTTGGTGTTTTATTTTTGATTTGGTTAATTTTCGGTTATTTTGCCTAGCAAAGTGTTTCTGGGGCGGTTAAAGAACCTCTATGCTTCGTCAGTTAAGCGCGGTTTCCTGGCACTTAACTTATTCTGAACCAGTCGGCTCCGTGCGCCAATTTTGGGATTTTCAACAATTAACAGTTGACTTGACGCTTTTTCAGCTTTCATTTCTTTTTTCCATTTCACCGACAAACTTGCAGGAGGTCAAGATGCAAAGAATCTCTAAATATGTGAAGAACCTAATCAGAATATGGAGTAGCTGGACATTAAAAGACCAGGACTAAAACTTGATTGCTCCACTGATTTTATTGACAACGATATTCTACACAACCTGACTGGCAAAAGCCTAAGTTCGTTTGTGTCTCATCAGGGAAATCTTCACAGGGAAGTAGCTTTTCTGTTCATGCGATTTATCAAAATCTCGCGTTGGTATTGGAGTTGCCCGTCTTCGCCATGTTCGGTTCCGTTTTCAATGAACTGGTCGGCGGGGCATCGAACCCATTCATGCGAATCCACCAGTGAAACTAAAACAGAATTTCCAGGAAAATTGAAACGCACCTATGGTGTCTATAAATGCACCTCTCCCCTCCTTTTGACCTCAGTATCACCAGGACGTTCGCGGGTGCTGTGTCCATCGCATCCGTGGATGGTTGACGGGATGTTATGAAAACCGTTTCGCCTTGGCAGACTCATTTCCCCGCCACTGCTTCTCATTGTTACAGAATTGATAACCCCCTCATCTGCAGCAGCGAGAGATGGAGAAGGTGGAGGTGAACGGCCGGGCATGCTCCTCGATCCTTATCCCCCCAGTTTGAGAGGCTGTTCCAGGATATTTAAGGCCTTTGCCTGTGGTCTTGGATGGATATCTTTAAAGCTCCCATCGCCTTACCAAAATATGGCTATTTATTTGCACATCATTTGAACCAATTGCCTGCTTCTATATATAATGCAAACACCTCAAGGTATTCACAATGGGTTTTCTCGCACTTGTTCTTCTTCCCCTCTCCGCCAGCATCGTGGTCACAAAGAACTTATAAGTTTACTAGCAGACAGGAACATGCATTTCGACCGAAGCATACGCAGCAGCTGGGATTGACCCCTAAATTCTGCCCCAATGACCCCAATAACATCATATGCTCTACGGAGACACCGCACCCAGAGATGTCGGAGAGCAATTGCTAGCCACATGTCATCTTGGCTGGAAAGACTATTCTTGCCGCACACGAAGGCCGTCCATGTCGTTTGGTGCTATGCAAATAACTCGGGCGAACATGGCAAGGGATTGGCGTAGGATTTCATGGTCGGGGTATGTGATTTTGCCTTGTTTCCTTTGCTGTTCTTGAAATTGGCAATTTTTTCCTCTTTCCTCTTGACTTCGACCTTCTATGATATCCTTTTAAGTTCTTATTTGCTGACGGGGACAAATATACAACAGTCGTGCACCCTGAGGGCCGAGTGATTGCTAAGAGTGTCATGAACAACCACAGGAGCCTCAACGTTATGTATGTCATCTGGGACCAGATGATCTGGAACTTAAAGCATCAGTGAGACTCCGACTAGTTGAAAAAACTGGAGACAAATGGAGGACAAAGGCTCTATTTCAGCTAATCATTGGTATGTATTTCTGTTTCCTTTCCCCCTCTTTGTTATCGTCTCCTCTGTTGGTGAGTTGTGAATTCAAGGTTAAGCAAATGAAATATATGTCAAAAGGGACCATGTTAACCCTTAGGTTGTCATGGACATCAGCAATATTTATGTGATTGTAGATAGATCGCTCAATCATCCCTTAACCAAAAAGTATTGAATGGACCTCTAGTTTATTTCCAATTTGCAATAAGTGAACAGGAATTTTTTTTTCTTTCTCTCCAAGAAACATCAGCGGTGTCCCACCCATCAAGGGTGAAACATCCATTAATCAACCAAAAAGGGAAAAAATGAGGAAGAGAAATCCTATCCACAATAATTTGCCTGAAGTCCGGAACCTAAAAGATTAAATAATTGCCGCTACCAAGATTGACTAGGGAGAAATAAGAGTCTGGTCCATGCGCATTCCGTAAAACGCCATGCCAAAAGGGTAGGCAGGGAGATACGTCCTAAAGAAAACAAAAAATGACTTGATCGAAGAAAGATATCGTAAACAAAAAAAACATGATCATTGTTTTTCACACACACACACACACACCATGTTTGCTAACATTCAAATCATCTACTCCAAGCATCGTGTTCTTCATTGAATGACCCGTATGCCATATTTCTTCCTGGGCTGTCAGCATCTGCCTCGTTATCCCTGTCGATCGAGCTGCCTTGTTCCATAGGATGTTCGACGACGATCCTGCCTTCGTTGCTTTCTAGTCGGTTGCTCGTATTTACCAAATGGCCACTTCAAGAAGAACACTATCAGCAGCTTTCATGGAATACTTGTTGAATAGATACATTGTAAGTTTTTTTGCTGAGGGTTGAAACTCACACTAAACACGCTTCATCAGCTATGTTTCCCTGTCCTTGTTCACATTGTTCACATGCATCCTCCCGCTCCTGTTCAGCTGTTCCAACATCATCCACGACATCAAGCAGTTGGTTTTGTCTCAACCGGGATTGGGTGGAGAGACTAGAGCTGCGATGTTGCTTGATTCCATTAGCAGCAGGTCGTTTCGATCTGCGATTAAATCTTTGGCTTGATGAACTCTCTGTTGCTTCGTTGTTGGCATGAATATATCTGTTTCTCTGTTTAGCCGGTCTCTCGACATGGCTTGTTTCGGTGTTTCTTCGATGAGGGGTTGATACAGAGAGCCTCGGCCGCCTCTGTAGTCGAAGTTCGGGTGGCACTTCATTTGCTGTTATCACAGGATACTAATGGAGAGGTTAGTTAATTTGGAAGACAATGCTTGCATATGTGCCTTCTTACGTTATAATCCCCAAACTCCAAAGCCCTCGCATTTTCGAAGAGTCTTTCGTCTTCTTCATCGAGTGTAATTGTCTCGGAATCATCGCTAGCACAACTTCCATCGCTTGCACTACCCCTTGCAAATCTCCTCTGAGAACCCCCCCGGCTAACCGACGAGCCTAAGAGCGGCGTTCGGCTAGTTGCTTCTCCGGGTTTGGGGATCCAATATTTAGCCTTCCCGCCCCTTTCATATCTCATGCCAGCCATCACTCTGGCTAAGCGAGAGTCGGATTCCTCATGCGCCATTACATTGTCACCGGAGTCGAATTGCCTATATTGATATTTCTCTCCGCGGAAGGTCTCTTTGGTATCTTCGATAAGATCTCGGATTCCAAAAGCATCCCGAATGGCGTATTTGACAGGCATTCGTGCGGCGGACACAGATGGATCGGCATAATCATGCCAGGAGAAGGCATACCAGTGGGTGAGAGCAAAGATGGGCATCTCGAAACAGATCAAGCTGTCCTGGATTGCTGCAGCAAGGTTGTTGGAGGTGTATCCTGCAACCCCGTTTGGTAAGGCTCCAAGCCATTGTAGGATCGAGAGGAAGAACCCTTGCCAATAGGAGGCAAAGATAATGAGTTTGACGCAAAGAAATTTAGGAACCGGACGAAATGGTTTTAGGTCATCGTGCATACACACCCAAAACATTGCCAATGAGTAAAGACTGATTGAAACGCTCAGATTGAATATAATTCCTATCCACAGATAGCCCGAAGAAATTCCAAGATAGCCTTCTTGGTATGTTCCAGTAGCCTTCATTATGATAGATGCTAAAGCAAGAATAGGTTTTAGCCACGCGTATTGAAGAATACCACGTTTCATCGTAAGAAAGGTATGGGGATCCGAAATGTCGACTTTCGCAAGACAGTGATTGAGAGGCCAAGCATGCTGCACTGGTGCACGCCCGTGGGTCATCACTATGAGAGCACGTTCTCCACCAAGACAATTGATAAGGAGTTGGAAAAACGTATATATCGTAAATGCCTTATGTCAACGTTAATAATGTCTTCGGAAGTCTTCTGGGGGTTTCGCAAGAGTCGTACCTCATATATATCGCGGATCGGAACTATGAAAGCAGGTGCAGTCAACGAAATTATGCTCACCCAAGACGATACCGAATATATGGGAACCCTACAGGTAGTCAGTACGGAAATCTAAATTTTTGAGAAATGGGAGCAGACATTAAAAGTATCCTCACGGCATATCGCTGAAGCAGTGGCTTCCAATAATTTTTCCTACACAGCACGTGTTATAATACGTCGACATAGAATACGCAGGGCGTCAGGCGCGAAAGGGTAACGCTCACATTTGAAGCCATATCGACCTGAGGGTAATTTAAGTTAGCGATACGTACTAGGAGAGAAAAGCAAGAAATGTGAAGGGTGCTGGACATACACCAGAGATAGTAATGTAGCGACCAAAGCTGCCACGCCAGCGATGATGATCGTAACCCTGGCCAGGCTTGAGCCCGTTCCCCCAGAACTGGAGGTGCCCGCCATGGTCGATATGGTTGAATGCATCGTTTACGATCGCGACGCTGCTTGCATAGCCATGGTGCCTTTAGGTCATTGCGCGGACGGAGAAGATCGAGTGTACCAAGCGAACATAGCTCCGTTGACTGCCAAGACGGATTTGATGTGATCGGTGAGTCCCACAATGGAAATAACGAGCTCCGCGCAAAGATAACTGCCTGTGTGGTGGATTGGGGAGCGCGGGTTGGGGCGGTAAATATCTTTAGGTTAACGTTCGGGTTCGTGGTGGTGGTTGATGACCCAAGGCAGCGTGATAAATAGAAATAGTAACTAGCTCAACCAACTGAGCAGTGCACTCAATCAAGCAGCGCACCAAGTTGCAACACAAAACTACGTACGGATGATACCCGGTCTAGTGGCCACCTGCATAAATCTCTTGACCTTTCAACACAATGAAAAATATCTACACAAAAGTAAAGAATTACGAAATGGCACTATGACTTCTTTTAAAGCTGCAGCTGCAGCTGCAGCTTGCATCCCCTTAAGAATCACTTTACATCACTGATAAGCAGGGAAATCAAATATGGTAAAGTTCATTAACAAGCAACAAAAACTAAGCTTTCAACAAGGAAGAGTTTCTAGTTCAACAAATATTGAATGAGAATAAAATATTTAAACTTAATCTTTTTAATATATATATAAAATAAATGATTTTCAAAGTTTATAGATGAATGAAAATATTATTTATTTAAATAAAAGTTAGATGTATAAATATTTAAAATATAATTTAAAAATTTATTACTTATAATAAAAAATATATTTAATATAATATTTATATAAAAATATATAATTAATATTAAATATTAAATTAAGAAAATATTATATATTAAATTTATATATATTATAAAATATATTTGTTGGATGATTCTAACTACGTGTCAAACTACGCGTTGATATGGATCAGAGATCACGTGAACAGCAGGCGGCCTTGCTGTAAGGAATAACGTTGATTTGTGTTCGTTGCTTAGCTAAGCGAGAGCAATAACGTAATTGATAAGTGAGTTGACCACATAAGTGGGTCAGCCACTTTCCTCCCCACTATACAACAAGAATGCCTTCAAAGTCTCAACTATAAAGAAAAACTAGCAAATTACATTATAAATTATTTCCTATACACTTAGAGCATGTACAGGCAGTATGCTCAATAATCTCACATACACTACATTGTGATGCTGCATATTTTTGTGATCACAACTCAGTAGTCTCAACTATTTTCTACTTTTATTCATTGATTCTTTATATGCAATTCAAGTCTTCTTCAACTCTCAAAGCACTCTCTTGAGCTACATATGTATGGCTTCTTTCTCACTTCTTCTTTTGTTTAACATTTGCAGTTCTTAACTTTTTGTTTTCAGCTATTAGAATAGCAGCACTATACATTGTTATTTAACATCTTTTGATCAGCTGATTTAGAGTATGATTGATTAGACTAAATAAGCTCTGCATATAGTACTTGATATATTCTTTAACTTTCTCAGCCTGCTGCTTCAATTGATGTATATTATGCAGTGTGACTGTGGCCCAGAAAGTTTGAAAGCTATGAAAGATCTCTAAGAAAATGAGAATATACATTATAATATTAAGCTGTGAGAGAATCTGCTCAGAATCATACAAAATCAGCTCAGCAGTTCTAAAGCTGCTCTTGATATTGCTCTCAATCAGAGCCTGCATTTAAGCTGCAGAATAAAGACTTAAAAACTTCTTGTCAATATGATTGATCTCAAACTGCATTTGATTTTTCATTTGCTGTCTATATGCAATTTTCAGAGATGAGAAGCAGTCAACATTCAATGATTGAAGAAGATGAGAGAAATATGATAATATATAGAGGATAATAATTTGATTCTCAGTACAAAATTGATCAAATTCAGCTAATACATGACTTCAATATCAATTTAAAATCAACAGTTGATATCTACTCTTCATATAGAATAGAGTCTTTTTGTTAAATATCTCTTTTAGTCAGTATAAGCTCAGCTGATCAATGATTCAGTCATTCTCACTGACTTCAATCATTTAGTCACATGGTAATTCTTCTGTCTTGTATCAGCAAGATTGATACATCTTTTCTTTGAGAATAATTATTATATACAAAACTCAATTAGTTGCATTGACTTCAACAATAATAGTCACTTATTTCTGATCTTCAGACTATACAAGCTTGAGATTCTCAGGTCTTTCAAATTCAATCATTATCTTAGTAGTTTCAATTACACTTATTTGAAATTCAATCTCATCAAAGTTATAAATATCATCTTCTAGGATTTCATACTTCACAATAGTATTTTATACAAGTTTAAATCATTCACAGATAATCTCAGAATTCTCACATAAGATTTGCTGATAATTGTAATTGCATAAGAACTTGAATTTCAGCTCATCATGACACTTGACAAAGTTTCATACTTAGTATTCACTTATTATGAGTGAAGGATTGAATTCTTGACTGATAAGAAGAAAGTTAATCATTTCTTATACAGCTGCAATCTGAAGAGACTGATCTCATTCATTCATGATCAGAATTCATTGAACAAGAGATTCTTCCTCTGTAAGACTAAGTTTCCAGTTCTTTAAAGAAGTGTTAACACGTGCTGTATGATCATATACTTAATCATTTAAAGTGAAACATAAAATATCATACAGCTTTGCTGCAGCTCATACACTTGAAATTTGATCATTTTTAAATGCTTGAATGGCTAAAAGAAGCCTTCCTTCCTGAGTAGAGGCTTTATTTCTTTGTGTGATTGACATTTTTGATGATGAAGATGTTGTTCTGGGATGAGATGAAAAGTGGCTGACTTGCTAATGTGGCTGACTCACTTATTGATTACGTTATAATATGGTGGGGCCACGTGATAGGGTAGCCGTAGTATCCACCAACACCCGCGATCATGAATCAGACAATCATGTGTCAATGATTGGCCCGTCGCCGTTCCAGGAAACATGCAGACGATGGGTAACCGTATCAAGCGCCCTTTGGGGCAGGGAGAGTTGATGAATAGTTTGTTCCTAGCAATCGTGTGAATAAAATATCCCTTGTTGGAAGCCCATACAGTGTTTACCAAGCTCTTCGAAGCAAGTTTCTCAGCACTATGCCCAAGAGATTCAAAAAGAAAGGAGCAACCTTGATGAGAACCTCTGGAGTTCATACCAATACACTCACTGCTTATCATTACTTTCATGACAGCATGCCACAATCATCCTACCATTTGTTTCGCCAGACGCAGATGTCCTCATCCTCAACACAATGCAATCAACAGCAGTATCCCGCTCTTGTTTCTCCACTGCAAGCGGGTGGATTGAGAAGCTCCCTAGCGCGCTTAGAAGATGTCCGGCCACACCCGATACGTCCTTCAATCCGGGTCGCGGAGAGGCAGAGAAACGACGACTGAGTAGCCGCGACAATTGAGAGATTGACCAAGGAACGTGACTATTTGAGACGTTTGTGTCATAGGCTGGGGAATAACAGTCGATTCGATACCTGCTTCCTCTCGACTGCGACTGCTGATTGACACTTATCAAAAACATCGTTCGAGTCGCATGTGCATTAGCCAGTAGAAGCGGTCACTCTAACCATATCTAGATATTTGACAGCGATTTGTTGCAGGATATGCAGATGGTCGCAGGTCGAACGGGCCGTCCACAAACATAATCAGCTGTTTAATCGTGCGGATATGTGCAAGAAATATAGACTGACTCTTCACAGATTTACCCAAATCTCCTGCGGTGTTTGTCAGAGTTTGTTGGTGGTTGAGCATGGGCGTGCAGCAAATAAAATTTAGACCGGATTACTTTCCAAAACAGGCAAAGGTGCTTAGTAATTTTCTCTACTTCAATGTAACGTACTTCACCAAGCAACGGAAACCACTGCGCAGTAGATTCTCTCTGAAAATCATCAAATATTCAATGTATTCAACAATCAACACAGTTAAATATTTAAATTAAGACTATATAATAGTTGAATATAAAGCTATTTATTAGGGCAACTTTGCATAGTATGTTCAATAGTTCCACAGCTACTGTAATGTGATGAAGCTCACTAATGAGATATAGCTTCAATCCGAGCTTCAACCTGCATATCAAGCTGCTGAACACACACATGATCTTTCTGTATAAATAGAATAGTATCCTGATTTAAATTAGCATGTTCTTGTTTTTTTTCTTTGTCTTTCACTCATTTTCTGCTTATACAATCTTGATTTTTTGATGAAGAAGAAAAATAAATTATTTTTTTAATTTTATATATTTAATAATCATAATTCATTTATAATTTCTTTAAATAATTGTACATGATCTCTCATTGTGCTCAGCTGCAGTAATAACTTTAAAAATTATATAAAGTCATATCATAAAATTATATTTTTTAAAGTTTTAAATATTATTTTATAAATTTTATATTTTTGAATAATTTTTATATATTATCTTTAATTATTATTTTATAATTTTCAAGTATTTTTACTTTATTTATTGATAAAATATAAAGTAATTATAATATATATATAGTTGAAAATATTATTAAATAAATTAAAATATTTAATTAATTTTTAAAAATAATAATAAAATTAAAAATATATATTTAAAGTAGAATTTATATTATTTTATATAAAAATTTTTATTAAATTAAAATATCTTACTTATTTATATTTAATTATTATTTGATTTTTTTTAATTTTTATCAATTTATAATTATTTATATATATTTTTGAATATAATTTAATATCAATAAGTTATTTATATAAAATAGTTATAAAAATTTTATATATTTTTAAAGCTTTTATATTTAATATATTTTTTTTAATTTATATAAAATAATAATTAACTATATATAAAATTTTTAAAATAAAAATATTTAAAAAAAATATATTAAAATAATATATTAAAATAGTTAAGTTGAATATTTAATAATTTTTAAAAAAAATTTATTACTCAATAATATTTATAAATTTTATATATTAATTTTTAAGTTTATAATAATATTTAATTAAAATTAAAATTTATTTTTTAAAAAGATAATTTATTATTTTTTTAAATAAATATTAAATAAAAAAATTTTTTAATTTAAAAATTTAATTAATAAATAATTTTTTTTAAATTTATTATAATTATATAAATTTGTATATAATTTATATAAAAAATACTATCAATTATGAGATTTAATAAAAATTATATAAATTATTTAATTCAAATAAAAATATCTATTTCATATTTTTCAAATATATTTGAAAAAGATTTAAATAGAAAAAGATTTCTAGATTAAAATAAATACTCTAGTAATTTAAAGAAAATATTATCTTTTTAGCTATATAAAATATATACTATAATTAAAAACTAATTATTAAATTTAAATATAAAAAATATAAATCACAATATACTTTATTTTTAAAAAAAAAATTTAAAATTATTAATAGATATTACTATTAGTAAACTGTTAAAAAAAGAGAAAAAAACTACATATATTTAAAAACTTTGAAAAATAAATAAGAAAAGCTTATTATTAATATATTCAGATGATTTAAAAAACAAATAAAAATAGTTGAGAGCTGATATAGTAGTTAAATATTCTAAATCAGATTCAAAATATAAGATATTTTCATAAAATTTAAAAAAAAAATATAAAGTTTTTAATATTTATCAACACTTCAATCTAGATGCAAATGAAATTGATATTCAATTATCAGCTAAATAAGCTATTTAAATGAAATACTAAGACGATTTTTAAGAAATAAGTTCAAAGAAGACTTTGTTTATATAGCTTTTTTTCTTACTACTATTTCTCACATTTATATATTATTCATTGTGATGTCAAGGCTCTTTAACTCCTTGTCCTCACACTGCTTACCATAGTGACTTACTAAAGCACTTATCTTCATACTGCTTATCAAAGCACTTTAGAATCAGCATCTATTAGAGAATCAGTATTATCTCATAATTCAGCATTCAGAATTAGCATAGATCAATATTTCTCAAAAATCAGTCCTTTAGCATCAGCACTTCCTGGAGAATAGAATCAGTACTTCATGAACATTCAGGTCACTGCATTGCTAATTCTCTATTTTATGAAAAATTAGAGATAGAATCTATTACTATTCATTTATGTATATAAACACTCTGAATCTCTAAAGTTTCTTTAAGAGATTCAGTGATTAGCTACTATTCAATCCTACACATATCTTTTATTCATTGCTATTCTTTTCTCTTCATAGCACTTGCAGTATCTATATACCTACTCTTTTACAATTTTAGTTATAGAGCTTTTCACACTTCGTTTTGACATTTAGTTCATCCACCTTAGTGTTCTCATATTCATATGCAGAATAATTATTAAGTTAGTTGCTATATCAATGTTTAAATAGTTGTAATTATTGATTTCGTTTTGACATTTAGTTCATCCACCTTAGTGTTCTCATATTCATATGCAGAATAATTATTAGGTTAGTTGCTATATCAATGTTTAAATAGTTGTAATTATTGATTTCGTTTTGACATTTAGTTCATCCACCTTAGTGTTCTCATATTCATATGCAGAATAATTATTAGGTTAGTTGCTATATCAATGTTTAAATAGTTGTAATTATTGATCATCTTAGCTTATAATTTTATATTATTGAAAAAACTGAACAGAGCTTATCTATTTTACATTATCACAATATTAAATTATTTATAATTTAAAAAACTTTTATAATAGCTTATAAAATGATCTCTTAGAAAGCAAATATTAATAATATTTAAATATTTTTATATAATCAAATAGTATTGAAAAGACTTCAGAAATATAAAATTTAAAGTAGTTAGATAAATCTTGAATTAATTCAAAAAATAGTAAAAAGAATTAAAATTAAGAATAAAAATATTCAAATATATTTATTTTAAGTATCTATTTATATAGATATTTTAGAAAATAAAAAAGCAGATCTAGCAGCAAAGATTGAAACTAAAACTTAAAAACTAATTTAAAAAATTATATTTTGATTATATTTTAAAAAAAAGATTAAAAAATCATATCTTAATAAATAAATAAAAATCTGAGAAAAAGAGAAAAAAAGTACTTAGTATGTAAAATATGAAATGAAATCAAAGTGAAAATCTACATCAATAAAATATAGAAAAAAAATATTTTCCTTTATAATACAATTGAAACTTGAATATAACTACTTTAAATTATACATAAAAAGATTTAAAAATTCTTTGAATTCTGATAGATGTGATTTTTATAATATAGTTAAAAATTCAGATTATATACTATTAAATTACTTATTAAATAATAAGATAAGAAAGAAATTAAAAGAAAAACACTCAATTAATTAATTAAATATGATCTTTTTATTCAATACTGAATTAAAAAGAAAGTTTTTAATTAAATTTATAAAGAAAATAAAAATTATTTCTAGAGAATAAAATTCAATATCAAATGAAAATGATATTAATTTATAATAAAGCTAAGAATATTTTCAATAATACTTTTATTAAAATTTTTTTTATATTAAATTATTGTTTATTTTATTTTATTTTATTTTATTTTATTTTATTTGATTTTATATAATTTTATTTTAATATTTATTTTATTTAAATTAAAAAAAAGACTGAATCAAAATTGAAATTATAAATATATTATTTATTAAAAGATTATTAAATACTGTACTATTCTAAAATAAAACTCTATAAATATATAAGTTAATTATTTTTTATTACTTAAATTAATTAAATAGTTAAATTCTAGTCTAATTAAATAGATATTATAATTACTAAATAAATATATTTTAAATAAAAAAGAATAATAATAATTATATAAAAAAATATTCAATTAATTAATAGTATAAAATTAATTTTAGAATTATAAGTAAATATATAAATTTTAAATTAATTTTTTATATTTATATAAAGTTTTTTTAAATTTTTTTATAAATTAAAAATATTATTTATAAAATATATTAGTTTATTAAATAAAAACTTAATAATAATTATTTTTAATTAATTATTATCTAATATTTTAATATTTTATTAATAAGTATAAAATTAAAATAAAAAAGTTTTAAATTTTTTAAATAATTAAAATTTTTATTTATTTAAATTTAATAAAATTAAATTATAATATATTTTTATTTTTAACTTTATTATTTTAAAATTTAAAAATATTTTTTATTATTTTTATTAATATTTTATTTTAATTTTATAATATTAAAAATATTAATTTATTTTATTAATAATTTTTTATTTTTATTTAAATATTAAATAATTTAATTAAAATATAAAATTATCTAAAAAGATATATATATATATATAAATTAATATAAATTAACAATACTAGTAAAGAGAAAAATTAAACAAAATAATTATCAACCTTAGCTTCATTCTCAACCTCAAGACATGGGCCATGCAAGCTTTATCTATATTAGAAACAAAAAAGGTATTGATAACAAAAAGGACATCTCAGAAGAACAAGTCCAACGCCATTCTAGTGAATATGGGTATATAATAGAGAAATCCCCCATTATAACTACCCGTAGCAAAACATAGCAATAAAAACTGAATGTCACCACACCTACGACGACCCTAAAATCTTCATATAGGCATCCTCCACATCCTTCGCAACTTCCATCAACGTAACAATCACAATTTGATGAGTGATATTCGGCAACTTATCCCTATTCAAACCAATCCATTCCAACGGCGGCGTTGCCTCTCCCATATCTCGTAGTTGCGGTGTCTCAATCACCGGTGTCTCAAGAGCCATATACGTATACCGGGACTGCGGTACATTAACAACCGCCGTGATCTTCCCTTTCCCTTTCCCCTTTCCTTTCCTCTCTTCCTCTCCTTCGCCTCCCTCGTTGTCCTCATTATCCAACTCCCTCGTAATCTGCACAGCAGGCATCGTCAACGGTTTCCCCAGCCGAGTCGCCAGTGAATTCGAATGGTTCGTCCACATGCCCCGTATAAAACTGATCCGCGAATAGTTCCAGCCCACATCCACTTTACCCTCGAAGGAGCTTTTGAAGATATATTTGATTTGGTTTGAGTGTGGGATTTGCCAAGTTTCCATAGTCGCCACAACGCGGGGTACGTTGAGGATTGTGCCACCACGTGCTTCGGTGGCGCGGGTTACGATGTCGACGATGGGGAGGTCTTCAGGTGTGCCTAATGGTGGAGCTATTGCTGATGTTGCCGGTCGACTAACGCCAGACAATGCGACTCTCAGCTGGCCCAGTGTTAGCCCCAGACCGCTGTGGATTCGACCCGATTCAACTGCGACAGAGAAATGTGCTTCTGCGTCTAGAGCGACGAGTTTGAAAATCTGATGGTCGTGGAAGGTACTGGGGAAGGCTCCTAGTTGTATGGATTTGAGATTCACGACCACGTCGGTATGCAACGATATTGGCATCTTGGGGTCCTTGCCGTTATCGGTGGCAGAATTCTCCCTTTTCGCAGATGGGGTAAGAGGAGGTTGGGGGTTGAGGCCCTCGCCACTAAGGTGGATAGAGGATTTGCGACGAAGGAATTTTTCGATTTCTTTAAGCGAGGCTGCATACGCTGTCTGCTTTTCTAGCCGCAATCGTTGTAGCGTTTGGTAGAGCGCCAACCCTTGAGAGGCTGAAAATGATGTGCAAAATACTTGAAACCTGTCACCCTCAAGGACACTAACGAGAGAATCCTTTTGTGAGACAGAGGCATTGCGCACATTATACATGAAGAAATCGAACGAAGTTACATCTGCCACCAAGAACGGTTGATACTCAAAGGACGCTTTGGCCTGTAGTCGATTAAACGCAACAGACGCCTGGATCAATGGCGTCTGGTATGATTTCTGGTCATACTCTGGCCACTGGATCGACGTTCGAATTTTAAAGTCATGCAACCCGATAATGCCGCTCATTCGCCCTTTGCTTTCAATAGCAACATCTTCAAATCCAATGCAAAGATTCTGCTCCCAGTCCGAAGTTTTCTTTGACGATAGCCATAACTCCTTTATTGTAAAATCAGATTTACCCAACGTCTGGCCGAGATCGAGCTGAATGTCTAATTGAGTTATCGCAATTACGGCGTTCCAGGGGAAAGAGCCTGTTGCCGTCATCTGCTGGTATCGCTGCACAATATATGCTTGCGAATCAGTGCCCGATTGCTGCTGCTGGGGAGTAACTGGCCGGTTTAATGGGTCGTTGGGTGGAATCCATATCTCACGGAACAGGAGGAAATCCTGAACTTGTTTGGCATTTATCTGAACATATGCAGGGCTAATCTTCAAAATAGCCGAAATGCCGCTGGAAGAACTAACATGTTTACTGTTCATCATCGACATAACAATGGAGTCAACGGCTAAAGTCGCTGTAGATTCGCTGGAGTAGACATGCTTGACTGAAGCCTGTAGAGAGTTAAAAGCCAAACATAGGGCAAAAAACCGGCTCTTTTCCTCTGACTGAACAGTATTGATTGTAATATAGCTGCCGTCGAAACATGCAGTTGCCAGGACCCTTGCGATTGGCTGGCAGCTGAGGGTAAATTCCTGCCTGTAAATCCGCAGCCCAATATTGAGCTTGCACCGCCCAAGTATAGTTGTGGCATCGCTTTTGCCCATAGGCTTCTCCTGCGAAGATTTTTGCGGTGTTTGTTCCTTATTTGTGCCGCCCTTGGCCACATCTGATTCTCCCACAACTTCCTTCACGCTCTCAGATATCTCAGTAACTAGGGGAACAACGGTGGGGTAGAGGACGTTGGTTGATGCATCAACCTTCATTTCGGCATTTAATGTTGGCTCTCCAACTCCAGGATCTTCAAATCGGATCTTTACAGCGACCCCAGGAGCGCGTAGGGTCGCTGTAGTTTCAGAAGCGTGTTGGATGTACTGTCCGTACTTGCCTCCACCAGTGCCTCGTGTAGATCGTGTTATTGGAGAAATCAGGCTGTCTACGCCGTTGTCCTGCCGGCCCTGCAAACTGACTACGGCTCCGGAGAAGTCAGCATCGACAAGCAGAGACGAGAACCTAATATTATTTGGGTTGGAACTTCTCCTTTTCTTTCCCGGAGGGATTGCAGCGTTCCACAGTCTATTAGCTTTTCGAAAGTTTTCGCTGGCTAATGCGATAGAGTCCTTAAGAATACTGGCAGGAAGAATGAATTCTGTGGTCATTCGAATGTCTAATGCTTTCCCCGCTGCTTGAAACGCGAGTCGTCGCTCATTTCCCCTGGACAGGTACGCAACATTAAACACAGCCTCGGGCAAAAGGGCAGAATTTCGCGACCGATTACCCTTATCCATGTGAACAGGAACCATTTGAAGTTGCATGTCTTGAATTCTTAGACGGGCGGCATTTTCCTTTCTCGTTGCCAGCTCTACCTTCCAGATGGAGAAAACAAGATCCTCTGGTTGTCTGCCCTGATGACTGGAGACAGGCGCGGAAATTATCCAACTCATTTGCGTATTTGCGAGCGTAACTGAGTACATGGAATTAAATAGATTTTGTGTATCAGGTCGGTCTTGGGACTCAATGGCCCCCATCCTTTCAGGCGTTGTAAGCAATCGCAGCTTCCGGAGATGTTTGACCTCGTGTGATAAATCCAGACTCTTCAGTCGCTCTTGGAGGTGGGCAGCAATATCAACTATCATCGATGCTGTCTCTGCGAATAACTCAATTTGCAAATTCTTGTTCTCCACATGGTAAGATCGTACAATATCGCCATTATCGTTAGGCTTTGATGTTCCGAATATTTGAGCGTCGAGAAGTAAGCTGCCGTACGGATGTGTCTCCACCTTATCGCGTTTCATCAAGTAAAAGCTAATCCGAGATAGTTGGATGCGGAATTCAGGATACTCGAGAACAGGTCTCCCAGGAGAAGAATTTTCTAGATGTAGTTGCATCATGCCAAACTTGAAGTCCATGTCTGCAGAATAATCTTTGCTGCTCAAACAAGGTGCAGTTGCAAAAACATCGATACCAGCCAAAGTGAGACGTATTTTGTACACAAGGACGTGGGCGGCTTGGTCAGCAGGCTTTGCTTTGGGCGAACTCCGTCCACGACCTCGAGCAACGAGCTGCTCAAAATGTTGTTTGAGGATCCGAACATCGTGCTCCAAGTCTGAGAGTAAATGAGATATTTCTGGCCCAGTCACTGCGCTGAGAAGGTTACGGACAGCTCCCGCATCGACTTTGGTGAGTTCAAGCGTCGTATCCATATCTAACACTGTACGGTTGGGAGATGTCGCTACCATGATTCTGCCATTGATCGGAGGAATATCCAATGCCGATATGATCCCCAACTCATTCTCGTCGTCGGACCAAAACTTGTGTGAATTATTCTTGACGTCAAAGTCCAATTCTAATTTAGATCCCTTTGCTGGTGCAATAGAGAGTCTAGCTACCTCTCCAGATATGACATACACTAATGAAGGAAGAAGCAAGAAACGTATCTCGTAATCATCCAAAAACATAGCAACTTGGAAACGGTGGATAGCGGTTTTTGCCACAGGATCCACCTGCGACACATGGCGTTTCGCTGGTGATGGTTCGATTGTGGAAACCAATCTGATAATATATTTGAACTCATCCTCTACAATTCGATCAACGATTTGGACAAGGCCAAGGGGGTCTTCGTTCATATCATAGCGCAACCTCTGGCATGCAGCTGCTGATTTCCAATCATGTTCAATACGCGACCCACTGCTCTGCAAAGAATGCGAAAAGAAAATGTTGGGCTTCAAAATTCTCCAAATCATCAACTCTTTTAAGCGGCCAGCAAAGTGCACTGATGATTCATCTGAACTAAGAACCACGCTTAATGCACTTTTTGAACCTTGCTCAGACGGTTGGTGAATGATTGATCCTTTAATACCACTTCCTCGTAATGCGACATTAAGGTTAATACCGTCAAGAACAACCGAACCATCGTCAAATAGGAAGACAAATTGAAATTCATCGTCATTTGGTGTCGAAGGTTTTGCCTCATGCAAACTTTGAGGCGATGTGCTTGATAGCCTTTGTCCCACAGAGGCCATTTTAAGAATTCCTTCCACAAGTTCACAAATCTCCCATTGAAGTCCCAAAGCTATATCGGAACAGTACGTTTGAACAATTATAGAATGAATGGGTCTGCCGTTTTTTATTGGCGATTTCGTTGGACTTACTCTGACGCTCACCGCAGTTGTAAAATTTTGGAGTAATAATTCACTAGCCTTCGGGCCCGGGTCCAAACAGAACCTTATCCTACCCATATTAAAAGACAGAGACTGGTGTCTTAAGTCAGGAGATTTGGGATCTTCATCTTCCGGAGTTCCCCAAATAGCCTTCATCACGGAGCTCTTTTTGACATGGGCAAGGTCCCATGCTCGCCAGCGGTCAAAATTGGACAAAACAGTAGCTCGAGCATTTGCAGGGCATGGCATTGAGTTGGCCATTGAATCGCTAGTCAACTTCGACATTTCATAGGCAGGTAATGAATTATATATGTTGCGTAATCTGGAAATAACTTTCCAGGAATCATGAAGTCTGAGATGTTCGTGGGCGCCTCGTAACACATAAGAGGTCCTTGTGAGGAACAGTGGGTCTGGGGTTTGGGAACCATGGTTCGTGAGCGTGTAAACAAGGCAACGAAGCCTATTTGTGTGAGCCGCGGAGTCTTTCTGAAAAGGAGTGATGACTGAGTCGACCAGCTTTAATGTGCGGTCAACCAGGAATGCTGAATCTTGAACAGATTTGCTTGAAGTCACGGTTTCAATATCTTGAACTTGGATGTTGGCACGTTGAGTTTGTCCCAACACCAACCAGAAAATTATATTCTTCAATGTGCAGTGAACGGACCCTTTCCGATCAAGCGCCTCAACCTTCTCCCCTTGAGCAGACAGAGAAATTGAATCAGCCGCTAAATGCATAGTGAAACCTAATTCAGTCGGCTGCATATGGTTATCGCTCCTTTTTTCAATTACCTTGCGAAACGTGACGCGAATATGTGACAGTTGTAAGTCGTATTGGTCCCGGAATTTGCCCAAACGATAATCGTCCAACGACATAGATGAATTAATGACTCTAATGTGGGAGAGAGGAAAGGTAAGGGAGAAATTGGATATTTTTTGGGGGTTTGCCTTAGCCTTTTCATTGGCTAAAATGCCGGAAATAACATTAGCCTGAAGATTATCAAGAATATCCACTGGGTGAGAAGGCTGCAATTCATCAAACAATATCGACGCGGTAGAAAAAGCTTCTGGAGAACAGAAGCCACGTAAGCCGGGCAAGAATTCGCAAAGGAAAAAACAATGAGTGGCATTTTCATCCTCAGGACATGAGCCAGTATCAACTTCGCTACCAAAATCCAAGTCGTTCCGTACTGAGGTATCGTGGGCGTGTGGGAGGTTGGGAACATCTGTAACATCCGGTTGGATTCCATTAAAACGGAAGTAGGGCATGGCCCATGGGCTGGATAAATAGTTCATGGAATTCATTATATCCTCCTGTCCTCGTCCAAGGTGTCTGGAATTGCGAGCGCTATGACTCTCGTGACCAATCCTAGAATGAGCGCTGCCAGAATCATAGAGAATTGATCCGGGCAATTCGCTTTTTGCGACCACTGAAACAGGACGTGTTTGGCTGTTAAATTGTCCGAATTCCCTGCGTTTTAAACCTGAGTATCGAGAGGAGCAGATTGAGCTTTTCGCACTCGATGTATGTTGGGATGACATGAACGAAATTGACGAATTCGGGTAAAAAGTAGGAATCGTCTGAATTGGTTCTGGCATCGGCGGCACAGCCATGGCTGGATCATTGACTTTGAGGTTGGTGATATCAATAACGCCGGGTGGCATTGTATTTTGATCACTGTAAAGTAGCCAAGGTGTTCTGTTGGACCGCCGATCGTGTCTGCGAATATGTTCTTGTTGCAAAGCACGGGAGGCTAAAAAATCTGCTTTGCGCTCCACCATCCTGAATGCCAGTGACGTTTGAAAGTATCCGTATGTCTTGGCGGCCTGGCTGGAAGGGTCTCGCAATCGAACTGCAGCCTTTCGATCTACCACAGCGAGAACGAGATCCGGTACATCTAGACAGAAGCGTTCAGAGAACCTCATATCGGCCCAGTTATTAAAGTCAATGTTGACAGCTCGGGAACTAAGTAAGAGGGCAGCTTCCTCGACTAATACCCAAATCCGTATAGAATCGACCCTGGCCCTCAGAAATGTCACGTCGTGGAGCGCGATGGGGTGTATTGGCGGTAATGCATTCTCTTCGTCGTCGAAAGAAAATGCAAGAAACCTTACAGCGGATGCTGCAAGTTTTACAAAGGTGGGTGAGCACTCTCCAGTAATCTGGCCAACCTGGAAGTCCCAGTTGCATACATAAGTTGGCTCCATGGGCGGCAGCCCAAAGAGTCGATGTCCATATATCGAAAAGCCATCCACATATAGCTGGATGTTGGAGGACAGATGGGTGCCATCAGATTGGAGCGAGTCCGTAACAATTTCCGCCGGGCTGAACGATGTTTCCATGTCCATGTAATAATTGGTAAATCTTAGATCGGTATCAAATGACACAACGTTCATCCTCACACAGTTTGTGCGATCATATATATTGGCAGGCAAAAGAATGCTGGCATTGTCTGCATGAACCTGAATAAAGACGTCAAGGTCGTTCGTGTTTGGCGAAGGGTTAATGCCGCTGCTTTTCTCGGGAGTGGGGTTAGTAGCAAGTAGCCCTTGGAATTCTTCCAGCGTTTTAAAATGCAAGTGTTCACCGAAGTAATTCTCCTTTATTTTCAAAAAGCATCGGATTAAAAACCCGTAAAGACAAAGCTTGGGTGCAATGCCAACAACATCAAGTTTTAATGTATCCGTTAATGCCGAAGAGGTGCTCAGATTGTAATTGTAAGTTCCATTAAGGCTCATGCTTTTCAATGTCGCAACTAAATTGTCATGGAGAAACACGCGCTGGGTGTTCCACAGGGGTGTCATCAGTTCGATTGATCCATTTAATAACTCAATATCAAATGCCACGGAATAGCGTTTCGGCATATATTTCTCCACAGGAATACCGACATGAGATGTCAGATTTTCGGCCTGTATTACGAGGAATGTATTATCATTAGTGTCGGATGGGTTATTTATGATGTTTGAATCGTTCACGTTCAAGTACAGTTTTAAATTCGCAAACGAAAAATCGATGGTGTAACGGAAAGGAACAAAGGTATAGAAATCGGAGGGAGGCCCAGACGTCCAGTCATTTACTATATCCGTCAAGAGGAAAATATGATCTCGAAGTAAGAAAAGTTCGAGGTCTTGGCTGTAAATATTAAAGAACCAGGTGTGCAAGGTATTCCACTTCAAGGGATTGGACAAGTCACAGGAAATTTTTTGAGGCCCAGACCTCCACAACAGGCCATGGTTAACACTCGATGTGACTCTAGTTCCGCGCAAATCGAGGTCGAGTTGATTGCTGTACCCTGTATTCGAAGCTACCATGTCCATAGAGTATCTGATACTGGAATTCGCCTCTATCCCAAGCAAAAGCCAACCAAAAGGCCGTATATCTGGTCCATGTGTGCTCTTTTCAGCGTCCTTATTCCGCGGGTGTTTCTTCTCTTTTTGGCCCTTCAATTTGGAAACACCTCCCGCAGCGTCAACCCGACCTTTCCATAGCCAGTCCTTGGACGCTTCTCTCGTTGGGATTCGCAAGGTAGCATCTTCTTCGATATCGATAGTCAATTTGAACTTGGTACTCTGTCTGGGCGCCCCGAGCTCAAGTGATGGAGAAGGCTGTGAGTCTCTGTAGAAGTTAGGAAAGAATACCGCTTGGATGCCAACACGTTCCCTATCAGCCCAGGGTCCATAATTGATGGTTCCGCCCTTTATGCACAGATGCATACCCCACTCAGGAGCATCAGTACCATTGATATCATCAGAATGTTTGTGAACTGAAAACCGTGAATCAATTCTGCCTGCTGTCACTTTCCCCGGGATATCCCAATAATATTTGAAGCGGACGCTTGGAGAATCTACTAAGGTTGAGAACCGGGCATATTCAATCGCGTTCCAGCCTTCATGTGCATCTCGATCATCTTCATCTAGATATCGAGTGAGCCCAAGCCAGCGAGATTCACCCGGCAAGCCTGTCCTCGCTGGAGAATCCAAATCAGTTCCAATCACATCATTCCATGCACCATTGTGACAAGATTCAACTGAGCTCTGGAAATACGGTACCAAATTGCGAACGTTATGCCATGTCCTACGCATATGGTGTTGGTATCTTGAATGGAAATCAAGGTTGTTTGGTTCTGCTTTGTGATCCCCATTCGAAGGGCTTGATCCACTGATGACAGCAGCTTGTTGGGTTTGTTTAAAGTCTGGATTGGGTTTCATCTGAACAACTGGATGGCATAGACGGCATTCAAATATTTGTCTGAACATATCAAGCGGGCCAGCGGTACCGGCGTCAATTCTCCCAGATGCCGTTTCAAATTTTGTGGTTAACAATGTTTTTGTATTTTCATTACCTATAACCATTGCCCCTGTATGGCAAACCAACTGCACGGGAAGAAGAGCCAAAAACTTAGAGGTTGGAGCCTCGTCCGTCAGGCGGGCTGAATTTGAATTCGGAGATCTTTGAGAAGTTAAAATATTATGGGATGAACCGGTGCGGGTTGCATTGTCGGTTGTTGACCGTTGAGCCTGGTTATGAAGAGAAGTCGACGTTTCAACATGAGAACGGGATATCGCAAAATCTCCGCCATCAGTCGATGCACCGCATGTCTGTCCAGATTTAGGTGGTTCTAGTTTGTCGCTATCATTTTCTCCGGTATTATTATCACAATCTTTGTCGCCGCCATTAGAGCTTTCCTTGGGAGTATATCCAAACCCCGATAGGATGGAATCGTATGCCGCACTCCGGTTGTAAACAAACCACTCAAGACCATGGAGCGTTAATTCCAAGCGGCAAGGCAGCCGGGCCTCCTCGGTGATACCTCCCCGTTCTCCAGCGCTAGGGCTCGGGCTTCGCGTACTCTCGTCTGGGCTTAGCTCATCCCCTGTTTGTCGAACACTATCTGTAGTCTCGCGGCTACTTCGAGATAGGTCAACCTTACGTACGGACCTAAGCCAGTACCTCCACGTCAGATACCCCGATTGTACCAGTATTGTCTCATTCTCTCCATGGTATCGGAAACCTTTGAAAAATATCCTTCCACCAAGCAGAGAAATCTGAAGCGCATGTATGTCAATGTAAATGCCGTAGTAGTGCCAGGTATAGGCTCGAATCGGATAAGAAACTATGGTTGCAAAGAGCCGATTGAAGTAGAAGAGGAAAAAGAGTGTCCTGCACCGTAATGTTAGCTTTATAAACCCCTTATGCCTACTCTGAATGCCACTAAATATCGAAACTCACAGGATGCCACAGACAATGAGTTCAACTAAAAACACCCTGCAAGTTGTTAGCCCCGCGTTAACGATCGACAGACCAAAATATTTACCAGTTGAACTTCGGTACCGAAGCCAATGACTCCGCGGTTAATCTGCCCCCTTCCATCCTGCTAAACTATAGTGGAGCTCCGTCGTTGGCAGTATCAAGATCTGGCTGTCGCATTGCGATTTTTCGCAAATACCAAACATGTTTTAAACAATCTCTGCAAACGCTAGTTACCGCAATAGTAGAGCTTCAGGAACAGCATGTCGTTGACTGTATTATCATACAGTTCATGCAGGAATCAACTCATCTTTCGTAGTTGTGGGTGTTAAATTCGCAGAGCAATACCGAGAAACGAATGACGACCCAAAGGAGAATCACGGGACGAAGCTTTTCCCGAGAGCCGCTTCGGCATCCACAATTATTTGTTGGGGGTTTTCCTGGTCGGTTTCTGGGGCCTATCTCAGTCACGTGAGCACGTGATGGATTTCCTTCTGGTAAAGTGTCTTCCTGGCCAGTCATAAAATTGGCACCATCCCTCTCGGGTATTTATCTGGTAATATACTGGGCACTTTCTTTCTCTGGAACTACTGAGGATGTCATTGATTCAGCATTAACAACTAGACAATCCTCAATCACAAATTAAATTACCTCATTTGCGATGGCGTTGTCTACTGGGCTACGGATACTGGACTACGGAAACTGGTGTTGTCTGAATGGGGTAATGTGACCGACCAGTAAACGAGCCGGACTACTAAACAAGCCGCGATTTTCACCAAAACTAGCTTCAACCCCTCATTTTGCAACACTTTATTTACAATAACCAATGAGGATTCAATTCAGCTTGCAATTGCAGATTTGAAGTTGCAAAAGGTCAAAAAATTTGCTGCAACTGCTAGGAAACTTGAAATCAATAAGAAAATACTACGTTGACAGTATATTGAAACTTAACTATTGCAAAATGAAGCTATCTCATATCATAAGAAGAAGATTTCAAATTCACAAAAAAAGTAAGTGCTTCTTTATATAGAGAAGTTGATAGCTAATACTTTTTCTTCTACATCTCAAATCATTCAGAATCTCATTTTAGAGATTATAAAAAAGTCAGTTGAAGTCAATTGAGTGAAGTACTTTATAAAACAATATTCAAAACAGATTAAATCTCTATATATTTATAATATAGATTATAAGTACAAGATTGCAGATAATTCTCTTCACTTTGAATATTATTTTAAGTTAATATTTTAATTATTTTATTATATTGTATTGATTATAGATTTTTATTAACAAATTGACTACTTATTTATAGAGTTGATTGAGAAGATTGAAAAATATAATAATAAGTTTAAAAATATTTAAAATTTTAATGAAAAAAACTTCTTAATTAAAATTGATCAAGTTATTAAGTATATTATATCATTTTATTTATTTAAAATAAAGTAAATTACAGTAATTTAAGATAATAGCTATAAATTTATCTCTCTACTAGTTATAATTTATGCTATTAAAATAGCACTTTTACTCACTCTTATATATAAAAGTGATTTTTATAATATATTGAATATTTAAATAAAGAATTTTGATAAAAATATATAATTTATTTTATAATCAATAGCAATGACTAAAGTAATAATAAATATTAGTTTATCTGACTGAAATAGATATTCAACTCTTTTATAAAGTAGAATATTAATTAAAAAATATATTATATTATTCTAAATAAATATTTATTTCATATAAATATGAGATTTATTGAATTTATAATAAAAATTAAATTCTATTAATAATTTTATTATTTTATTCAACCTATTAATTATAATTATTAAATATAGAATTATTTAATTCTCTAACTAGTGTCTATATATAAAAGTTAAATAAAATACTCTTCAATTTTTATGATTTTATTTATTTTATTAAATAAAGTTTTTATATTATTTTTAAATCTATATAAAGTTAGTTTTTTATTTTTAAGAATATTAAATTTATCTTTACTATTACTGATATATATTTTTTAAATTCTATATTTATTCTTCAGTAAATTCAAAAATTAATAAGATTTTTAAATAAAGAAAAATCTTTTATATCACTAACTATTCAAACTTTATAATTTAATTTTTAAAAAATTTGAATTTAATAAAATTAACTAATTAATGAGCTTAAGAAGATTTTTTATACTAATAAGAAGCTAGTTTTTTAAAATAAGATTTTCTCTTATAAAAATAATACTCTTCTTAAAATATTAAGCTTAAAAAAGAAATATTAATAATATGATAAAGAATTAAATTTATTTAACTTTGAAAAGTTATTAAATATAGTTTTATTCATTTATTAAAGTTTAGTAAACTTATAAAGCTCTGCAGACTACATAGCAAGTAAAAACTAAGAAGACTACTCAAGTAGTTTAGAAATAATTTAATTTAAAATTTAAAAAACTCACACAACTAAAAAAAATTAAAGAAAATAACTTAAGTAGTAAACAGCTTTAAAAGCTTTATATAAGATTAAAAAAAATGAAAAAATACAAAAATAAATTGAATATGAAGCTTAAAGAGAAGTTAAAGCAGTAAAAAAGCTGCAGCTTCTAGTAGAGAAGAAAAAACATACTCATATTCATGTGAAACAATATAAATTGAGCATGTTACAGCTTTAATCTAGATATAGATGAACAGGTATTCAATTATCAATTATATAAGCTATCTGAGTGAATATTAAAATAGTTTTTAAAAGATAATTTTGTAAAGGGTTAAGCTCTAAGAACTAGAGACTAGTCCTCCTATATAATAAGAACAAATTGCTTGAGAAAGGGAAGAAAAGAATGAGATGAGAACTCGAGCTTAAGCAAGCTCACGTAGCATGATCATGTGCGCACATGCAAATGATGACTAGGCTGAGTCAGCCAGTCAGAGCAAATCTAGAGATTTAATCCCTTATAATATCCTCCTTCTCCCTCTTTGTTGCAGGTCTTTATGACTATTTAAAGCTCTCTTTACATCTAATTTTGCCTGCTGAGAGGCCTCTCAAGTGTTCAAGATCTTTGCTTCTTGTAGAAGACTCATGTCATTTCACATAGACTCAGCTCAACTTACTCATTTAATGAGATATTACTTTTTTCTTCAGTAGGTTCATTCACTCTGAATTTCCTCAATCTCAAACTCAGGTCCTTTCAGAGTCTCTATAGCAGATGACTGTCAGTCAGTTTGTCTCTGACTAGACAGGGAATTTGTTGTTACAGCATGTAGAAGCTTTACATTAAAGATATTGTGAATGTCAGATGAAATGTTCAGTCAGTAAGTATGAAATTCTATCTTTTCTAGCACAGTATATTGATTGTATTTCACATTCAGCTTCTTACATAGATGATTAGTTCTCATGTTCTCTAAGCTCAATCAGATCTTATCTCCAGGTTGAAAGCTTGAAGCTGAGTCTCTTCATCTATTCATATATTTCTCTTGAGATTGCTAAGCATCTGTCATTTTTACTTGATTTCACTTCAACACTTCACAGGCCTTTCTTATATAATTATCTGCAAACTCAATGAGATTATGTAATGTTTCAACAGGAGGTGCATCAGCTATATCAATGAAGAAGATGTGAAAAAGATGTGTTAAAAAGAATGAGCTCATGTCTGTTGAGACAGCATCTCTATTATTGATGATCAGCTCTGCTAGAAAAAGTCATTCACACCAGTCATTCTGTTGAAAGCTAATGTACTTGTGTAGATAGATTTTCAGAGTCTGATTTATTTACTCTGTAGCTCTGTCAGTCTCTGAGTGATAGACTGTGAAGAATCATCTCTTAATGTCTAATTTCTCACACATCTGAGTTCAAAACATACTTGTGAAAGCTGATTCTCAATCTGACACTACTGTCTTAGAGATGTCATGTCAAGAGATGATGTTGTGAAGAAACACTCTAGCCACTGTCTCTGCATCAGTTTTCTTAACTGCTTTTAATATAACTTTCTTGATCAGTCTGTTCATTATAATCATGATGTTCATGTATTCTTTAGAGCTTGATAAGTTCACAATAAAGTTCATAAAAAGCTCCTGTCACATATGTTCAGAAATGAGAAGAGGCTTAAGCAGTCTCTGACATTGATCTCTTTATGTGATGTTTAATCTGCAAAGATGACAGTTTCTGATCATTCTTCTCACATTAATGACATAGTCTAATCAGTAGAACTCATATCTTAGAACTTCTGCTGTTTGCTCTCACTCAGAATGATCAGTAAGAGATAAATCATAAGTCTCATGCACTAATCTGATTTGAAGAGGTTTGAAGTCTGACACTCATTTATGATCTTGAAAGAGAAGCTTCTCATTCTCATTTAAAGAGCACTCAGAGATAGAGATCTTAATGCTGAGTTCAGAAGAAAATCTGAATCTTCTCTCATGAAGAGTTTACTTCAGACACTGCAGAATCTTATCATTTTTGTGAGTCTCATTTCACTGAGCTTGAAGAGACATCTCAGATTTCACATTGACAGTGATCATTATTGATTCCATTTCAGGTGCCAGTACATTAAACTTAAGTAGTTGAGCTTGTCTCTGCTTGATTCTCTCATCATCAGCACTCTATGACATGTTCTGCTCTCTTCATGATAGAGTATCTGATTCAGTATTCAACTTCTCTGACTGATAATTAATTCTGAAGTTGAATCAATAAAGAATATTCATTCAACATAGCTGTCTTTCATTTAGTCTGCATGTAGTCATGAAGTATTCTAGATTCTTATCATCTGTGAGAATTTTGAATTTCTTTACACTTTGTAGCTCAGCATTTCATTTTTTTAAACACTCAATTATCACTAATAACTTCTTATCATGAATCTTGTAGTTGCATTCTGCAGGTGAATACTTGTGAGAGAAGAAGACACATGAGTGTAGAACACTCTGCTCATCATATTGTAGTAGCACTTCTTCTGAGACATAACCTGAGAAGTTTATTTTTAATATAGTCTCATGATCAGAGTTGAATTGAAGCAAGATTGGAGTGGAGATAAACATTAATTTTAGATACTTAAAAGCTTTCTCAGCCTTGCTCATCCACAAAAAAGGAACATTCTTGCATGTAAGAATTGTCAGTGAGATCACAATCTTTGAGAAATTCCTGATAAATCATCT